AACTTTTGTTATTGACCAGATACTTATTTTCCACCATAATTTGCAAATAAATTCTTTAAAAATCAGACAATGTGATTTTCTGGATTTTTTTTTTTCTCATTTTGTCTCTCATAGTTGAGGTATACCTAGGATGAAAATTACAGGCCTCTCATCTTTTTAAGTGGGAGAACTTGCACAATTGGTGGCTGACTAAATACTTTTTTGCCCCACTGTATATCAAAACGAGGCAGAGAAACTAGTCCATGCATTTTTTACTTCTAGGCTGGATTATTGTAACTCCTTATTATCAGGGTGTACCAAGAAGTCAGTTAAATTGCTTCAGCTGATTCAAAATGCTGCAGCTCGTGTACTAACCAAAGTTAGGAAAAGGGACCACATTACTCCTGTTCTGGCTGCCGTACACTGGCTCCCTATAGAACACAGGATAGAATTTAAAATTCTTCTTCTCGCCTACAAAGCCCTTAATGGGCAGGTGCAATCTTACCTTAAAGAACTCATTATACCCTACTGTCCTAATAGGGCATTGCGTTCCAAGAATGCACGGTTGTTAGTTGTTCCTAGAGTCTCTAAAAGTACAATGGGAGCCAGAGCCTTTTCTTATCAAGCTCCACATTTGTGGAATCAGCTTCCAGTTTGCGGCAGACAGCCTATCCGTTTTTAAGAGTGCGCTTAAGACCTTCCTTTTTGATAAAGCTTATAGTTGATAAAATAAAATAATCTAATAAGAGTGCATTGACGTAGACACGTTGTGCCTCTTCACCTATACATTTTAGTTCTTACTCTTTCACTTAAATCCTAAAAACTTAGATCTTATATTTAAAACTAAGGTTATTACTACTACTTATCATTCTTCTAAATCTATTCTCTCTATACTTCTCATACTCTCTACTTCTGTAATCTATTTTTTCTATTTTCTCTTTATCCAAACCTTTCCCCTCTCTGACCTCTCAAGGTTCGGGTAACAGGTTGCAGAGAAGGCCTAGCCCGGCCGGGGAGTGTGGAACGTAGTCACAGACCTACTCCTTACCTCTCACCAATTCCAATTAAGGTTCCAGTGGGGACCTTTCTCCCTGTGTGTGCCTCTCCACCTCTGTTCCTTACTTGCTACCCTTTTCCCTCAACCTATCCTAAGGGAGTACATGTACGTAGATACGTTGTGCCTCTCCACCTCTGTTCCCTACTTTGCAAATGTCCCCCCTGTGGGACTAATAAAGGTATTCTGATTCTACTTCTTCTCAACCTATCCTAAGGGAGTGCATGTACGTAGACACGTTGTGCCTCTCCACCTCTGTTCCTTACTTCTTACTTGCTACCCCTTATCCCTGAACCTATCCTAAGGGAGTGAATGTACGTAGACACTTTAGTTTAGCTGCTATAGGCTCAGACTGTCGGGGGGTGCCTTACTTCTTCCTTCTGTCTGTCTGTACCTGTGTACTCTCATGTTCCGAATAACCCAGCTTCCCCCAAATTTGTTTTCTTGTGTCTAAATCTACGCCATGATCCTAAGTCGTGGCTGATCCTGTTGCTGCGGTCCTGCCTGACTCTCATCATACTACTTCCCTGATGGCCCCCACAGGATTGTTGACATCCTCGTGGATTCATCTGCTTATTATAGACACATGCATTTCCAAACATTTGGTCTACCTACGCTGTAAAATGTATTATCTCTTCGATTTACACACGGCATCTATTGCACGTCTGTCCGTCCTGGGAGAGGGATCCCTCCTCTGTTGCTCTCCCTGAAGTTTCTCCCATTTTCCCCTTTAAACTGTGGGGTTTTTCTCTGGAAGGGTTTCCTTGTACGATGTGAGGGTCTTAGGACAGAGGATGTCGTATTGTCATACTGATATTCTGTACAAACTGTGAAGTCCACTGAGACAAATGTAACATATTTGGCTATATAAATAAACATTGATTGATTGATTGATTGAAGAGTCCGTCCCATAGATATGCATTGTAAAATTGGAATATTTTTTTTAAATGTAAAAAGTTTAGAAAAAATTAAAAGTGTCCCATCATGTGCTGAACAGGCTGAATATTTTTTTATTTGAATTGTTTCTGTAGCTGAAAGTAGGCTGAAGTTAACCAACGGCAAAAATTGGGTGAAATAAGAAGATTAAAGAAAAGAAGAACAATAGTGGGAAAACTCCTGGAACAGCATTCACACTAATAAAAATTGCAAAGTGGTTTTTCTCCTCTTGTTATTTATCAGAGCTATAAAATGCAACTGTTTATATTGCTAATAAATCAATTAGGCTACAGCAGTATGTATGCATTTGACTTTGAGCCAGAAGCAGTTTGAATTAACTATCTTGGTATGCAGTGTGTTCACACAGGAGATTACAGATTATTTTCGTATGCTAAAGTTCAGATCATGTAAAAGTCAAAGTTCACAGAAATACTCCACCGACATCCACCATGTCTCATTGACACCCTACCCCCCCAGGGGTCGCACGGTATTGCGCAACCACAGCAGTAGTGCGAAAAGAATTAGGAAGAAAGTTACGTCATGCAGATGATGAAACAACATTAAAACGAGTTGGTCATTCGCTGCTGAATAAATGATATTAACGGAGATAATAAAGTCCGAATTGACTTCCTCACCTTCGTCTGTGAAGCGAAAGCTGCGCAGGAACAGCAGACAGTCTTGCAGCCCGGCGAACAGCGTGAAGCCTCCGCCGAAAGGGTTGTTCCTGAAGAAGAGCTCGAACACGGCGGGCTCCTGGTGCCGCCCGGTCCGCCAGTACGCGTACGCCATGGTGACCTGGTACAGGTCGGTGAGCAGAGGGGGGACCCGCTCCCGGATAGAGCGCTCCGTGAACCCGCATGTGTTGCTGGACGGCGCTGCCATGTTATTGAAGCCCCGGCTGGAGGTTCACTGATGCGGGGATCTCTGGGACTTGCAGTTTTTCAAAGACTCCTTCTCTAGAAAACAGCCCGCGGGAAAGGAGAGGCGGGTGTGTTGTTAGAGCAACACAGTGCTGTCATTCCAGTTTTGACAGGCACCTTTACGTAAACACTATTTAATTAGACTGTGTGCAGTTAATGATGTAATGTGTCTTAAAAGAGCGTTTCCCGAAAAGCACGTGCCTATAAACAAGAAACAAAGTTCTGTTCAGGTCACGTCTTATGCGTTTACACAACATGTTGATGTGACTTAATTTTGAAGGGTTTATAACTAATATGTGTATAATTTACTTTTCTTATTCGTTTGACCTTTTCCAGAGACAGTTCATCATGATGAAATAAATATATAAAAATGTAAAAGTACAAATATAAATTATACTTTAGTATCAAAAACAAGAAACTCCAAATAATTGTCTGCTTTAGAAAAGTGTAGGAAAGTTAAAGCATACAACAGAATAAAGTGGAAAGCACAATTGTATTGCAAGTACCTTAGGATTCCAAACAATTGATTAAAGGTTTTTTGTTACTTTCAGGGTCGGCTGGCAAAATCTGCAGAAGCACTTACTGTTCAAATATTTTTTGTCAAGGATTCAAATTAAACATGACATGTAAGGTTCATTCAGTAGTTTTTATTGTTTTTCAAAAATATTAAATACTATTTGAAACATTTTTTTGTATTATTTCTAAGCAACCGCAACACTGTATACAATCTTTATATTTATTAAATCCAATACTGTATTAGGTATTAGTATTTTATAAAAATGATATATTATGTTATATCCATGTAGGATAAGCATTAATCTGGGGTTTTTCTGTTGTTCTTTTAAGTTAGATGTATAATCATCTGTACTCTATTTGCGAGGTTACCTTTCTTGAATCTTTCTAAAGAGGATAATGGCTATCAAACACAACATAACAAATTGAGGATGAATAGGTTTGAGATGATTGACAGGTGCCACAACCTATAAGCAAGCCTCTGATTTTTCAATTGTGAAATACTGAATATTTATACCACTCCAGAACGATAAATATAATTCCCATTAATCGAGAGAATCTATAGGGGAATTGGGGGTGCTTTGTTTGAGGGTCTCAAGCAAAGAAATTAAATAAAAAGCACTGCATCATCAGTCCATATCTCTCAAACCGCATACAGTAGTGTTGAAAAACACATCAGCTCAGACTCCAAACAGTAACGGTCACATTGTGATCCCCACTGTGAGGATGTAGTCGTCTCCAGTTGCCCGTATGGGACACTGACGGCTTATCTGGATAGCATTTCAAAATGTAATGCACACCTTTGACTCATTTGGTCATTATCCCAGCTCATCCTGCTCTCCACTGCCCTTCTCCACAGTTGGGAAGCATCCTGCGAGCTCATTGGTTAATGTGTGCTTCTGCCCACCCCAGAGAAAGTGCGTCGGCTGTCCTGATTCGCTGTGCTCCGATGCATAAACAAAGAATGGGCTGAGCTCAATTGCCAGAGCAGACCGGACCAGGCCGACCCTCCCATCACGCTCTGAGCAGGGGTGATAGAGTCGTCCGCTGACAGGGTGCATGTACAGTGTCTCTGGGCGGAACGGGGCAGACAGCTTATCCGCGCCACCGCAGAATGACAGCAGCTCCTGATCTCCAGGGACTCCCGGGGCCCCCGCAGGACTCTGCAGCAGGTGGGTGAAGACCACCGGGCGGTCGTCGCAGCGAACAAAGTTCCTCTCCCTGCCACACAGGGACAAGAAGGGGAAGTCCTCCTCGTAACGACCACTCTGATTTGAACGCAGACGACTAAAGAAGAACACCAGGAACTTTACGTCTGGAAGTCAAAAAACAGGGATGAGTGTTGCTCTAAAAAAAAAAGGTTACATATATTACATGAAATACATTGAAGGCATCAGCACTGGTTTCACACGTAAACTTGCAGTCATTTGTTTAGCAAATATTTAGGAATATGCATCACTAAAACTCAACATTCCCTGACATCAGAAAGGCTTTAAGGTGGGTCCTGCATGATCCAGTCTTGAGTAACTTTGTAATATTCAGTTTCTCTTATTTTAACAAATATCATTAAACAATTAAGGCCAACATTAAACCAATCATTGCACTATGTTTCTTTCTTTAACATCATCACCAACTCACTAATTTATTTTAACCACATCATACAAACACTTTTCTGCTGCTACAAATATACCCACTACAGTATCAAATGTGGATTCATCTGGTGCTCAAAATAGTCCCCAACTAATGATCCTCTAATTTCTTTGCTCAAAACTACAGGGAGGAGTTGTGTGTTTGTTACAGAATATTTACGAGCTGTTTTAAGGATTCAGGTCCTCTGTAAGAACCAATGGGTGTAGAGCTGGAGGCCACACACAGGGTACACATTGTGGTTTTAGTCTTCCGATTGAATTTGTTCACATTAATACAATACAAAAAAACGTTGAAAACTGGTTCTATTGAGATGTTATTAAAAACCTGAACAAAAAGAATTGTAATTGTGATTACATGTTGAATATTCCTCAAAAGTGATCACATTTTATTGGTTCTATTCTTATTTTTCTCAAACTAACATGCAGAAGAACTCATTCTAACTACTTGATATTTACCTGTGGCAAACATGGACATTATCTACCTTATGTGCAAACTGTCAGACTGTTTTACACTTACATTAAAATATATTTGGTGGAGCCATATGGGGAGATTGATTAGTTCAAGGGTAAGGATGCATTTGGGCAAACTTCCAAGCTTCAATCTCTTTATGGGCTGTGTTTATTTTTACCTTTGAAGCAGGTGACAAAGTTCTTCACTTTAGTTTCATCGAGGAACAGCTGTGGAGTGGAGCACACACATAACTGTCATGCTAGCAGGACAATATACATATTGCATTCAAGTTTTTTTAAGGTTGTGTTTTGTGTCAGTTTACCCACCTGTCCTTGGTGGTCGATATAGTAGAAGTATTCTCTGATACGTGGTTCCGGGCTCTGGCCCTGGATGTATGTAGCGGTGGTTCTGGAGGCGGTGAAGCCGGCGGCAGGCATGCAGCGCAGACCGGTCAGACCTCTGCAGCTGAGGGCCGCTCTCCGGAGGAACAGCATGACCGCACGGAGGCTTAATGTGTTTGCAGAAAACAATTTGTTGGCAAAAGTTCCACAATTCTAGTTTTTCAGCCACAAAATAGAACCGTGTGTCAGTGGTTTTGCCCTCAAGTTATTGTTTACCTACCAGAGCCACAACCCGGAAGTATTTCAGTGTCGCGACATCCTCGGATTTTGACTGCTGCCGCCCAGTGGAAATTCATTGTATTTTGTTTTAAATAATTTTAAATCCGATACATGGTGTAAAAAAAAAATCGACCAGGATTATAAACAAAAATAATAATCTAAACAATTTTGCTTTGGACAATCATTTAGAATGAGGAATTTGTGTAGCTATTTTGCTAGTCAATGCTCATATATTATTGTTGTTAAACTATTTTAGTATGTCTAGGACAGTGGTTCTCAACCTTTTTACACCAAGTAACACCTGAGAAAATAGTTGGCTCTCCAAGTGCCACCATATGACCAATGTTAAAATACAGTCTATGTACAGTTCATGCAGGACCCGGAGGCAAATGTATTCAGAATAACATTATTTATGGTCAGCAACAGCTACTTGTACAAAGGGCAGTCCCTCTCCCTCTCCCTCACTCACTCACACCACATGTGAGAACATAAAGAACAAAATAATAACTTATTCTCATTTCTCACACAACAAATGACAACTGTACAGTACTTCAATCATACATACACACTCAATTAAATGCAATAGCTTTATTAGCATGACCATAGTGACATATATTGCCAAAGCTCTAACTTGCAACATCTTTACACATCTATACACAAATACACACAAATAAACACATAAACAGTTATAAACAAACTGTTTTGGTGTATCAGCTCAGTTTGATTCCCTCAAACTGTGGCAGGCAGAGACAAACTGTCCTGCAACAATGCAGCTCTCTTTATATTCCCCGAGTAGTATTTTTTGTTTTTCATTTTGAAATATTTGAGGCCACACANNNNGCTTCCTCTGTGTGCAGTTAGTTTAAGCGTGCCTAATTGCTCCTGACTAATTAGCAGATGAGTTGAGGCACTTGGGAGATAGATAACACACGCGCACACACACACACACACACACACACACACACGCAGCAAGTGAGAACAGAACCAACTGTACAGTACTTCATTCATACATACACTCTCACTCTCTCTCTGCCACATGTTGGTGTCCATTGACAAGTCACCTAAATCTAATGAGAAGGTTGCGCCTGTCTCCGTGAACACAGTCCTTTGATGTCTGGGGCAACCGAGGTGAGCTTCAGTCTCAGGTCTGGCTCAGCATTCAGCCTGCTTCTGTATTTGGTTTTAATAACAGCAAGGGAAGAGAAGCCTTTCTCGCACAGATACAGTATGTGGTCGCAAAAGGAAGGAGAAAGCGCACAGCTTTGTCAGACAGGGCGGGGTATTCTCTGTGTTGCTTTATCCAAAAGTCCACTAAAGACTGCTTTCTGAAAGCAGGCTTTAGTGTTTCATCACAAGACAACTCTATTAAACTCTCCTGCTCAGCCACAGTTAAGTTATTTGGCCGTCCAGAGGCTTCCATGCTGAACGGGCTTCTCATCCAGCTGTTGTCTTCGGTCATCACTGGGAAATATTAAATATTAAATATTAAACAGACTTGGATCCGGATTATTATTATTTCGAATGTTGAAGGATCTGATGGCTTAAAAGAGCTCCAACATGTAGGCAGAAATGTACCTGTCCTAAATGTGAATCATGTTTCAACAACCCCTGTCTTGCAAACTCTTTATGGATTAATGTATTACTTGTTTTGTCTTTAAATTGTATTCATTTCACACAGCCAAAGGGGATGTATTTTATTTAACAGTCAGAAAACTATATTTTCAGTATACTAATTACTATCATAGGCCTATATCTACTATCATACCCACATTAAGTGTCATTACTTAATCTGGCCTGTATGCTGTTTGAACGTCACTTTTCCTAACTACTGTTGTATGCTTTATATATTTTTTACATTTCTTTAAGTTTTATAGAATGCTCCCTCTTATAATTGTTCCCCCCCTTTAAATTTAGGTTACTTATACCTATATTTGCTTATACAGCAACATTTTCTTTATTTGTAACTTTAGCTAATATAACTGACAAAAAACATAAATCCTCAGATTGGAGAAGCTGCAATTAGTAAATGTTTGTCATTTTTGGTTGATATGACTAAAACAAATGTATAGGTGGCTTTCGCTTTATCGACTACTTGCATTGTGGGTTTTCAGCAAGCCAGCCACTTAGAAAATATGAGTTCATGAGCAATAAACAGTGTGAGCAGCCTACATATAACTTGGGAATGTGTGATTCCAAGCAGGGAGTATGCTAATCATGGAGGGAACACAGCACTCTTTGGGGAGCTGCATGTAAATCTCTTTGCTAATAAAATAAATCCAACATTCCTCCCCGACAGACAGAGGCTGCGCTCCCACACCCCTAAAACAGAACTATAAACAGAGGCTTCTTCAGCTCCA